GAGATATGGCTTCCAAGTAACAGTTCGCTTCCACTGGCTATGGCGACTGTGCGCCTCAAACAAACTCACTGTTCACACTCTGGATCACCCTGGATGTCCCACACGCGATACTCAGTACACACACACACAGTATACACACTCTTCCCCTAAGTTACAGCTATGGCGGCTATGGCCGCCGCTACCCTACTGCTATGGCCACAGTACGTCACTCTCGCCCACTTCGTCTTCGGGCCTTCTGCAGACCTCCTCGCACAAGCTGCTGAGGCAGCGGTTCCGCATGGCTTCCGCAGGAATGAATAATGGCTGACGCAGCCTCTTGATTTATACTTCTATGCTGCGTTGGTCTGCCCTGTGTCCCTTGGCCCCTGGTGCACACAGTCCCAGACGGTACTTGCTGGACAGGACCGGACTGCCTAACTGGGACTGTTGACTCAGCGAGGTGGCCTACCACCACTTGACCACTTGCCTCTGTTCAACGCAGGTCCACTCCGAAAGGCCACTTCTAGAAACCTCTAACTTGGCCTTTCGGTACTATAGCAGCTACGACTTTGCCCCTTCAGGTAAGTAGCAGCTACGACCTTGACCCTTCAGGCATCCTACAGCTACGACTTCAGAACTGTCTAGACTCCTACCCTACAGGTCTGCAGTTCAATCCCCTCTACCCTGTGACCTACGAAAACCTACCTACCACTGGCGGTCCTACAGGTCGCAGGTTCAAATCTACGGGTGGACACTATTACTGTACACAGGTAAGACGGGGAACTAGGGATCGAGCCCTGGGATCTGCATTCGCTACTGCGAACTGGTGAATACCGTTTCACTCCCGCCGGCCTAAATTCGAGGTCCTCCGAGAAAATTTCAGTCCAAGGCAGGACCTTTACCTCGCTGTTGTCTCTCGTAGGCCCGGACTATATCGGGAGCTGTCTCTAGAAGTTCAGATCTTGTAAACCAGCGGTCGTCTTCCGGTTCTTGGTAACTAAAATGAACCTTGTACTGTTTCTGCAGACGACCCCTACCTCCAGTTCTGAAGACATCTTCAACCACTATACCATCGATGTCATATCTTCCATCCATATCCGGTGGGATCATTGATCTACGGGATGGAAACTGATCACTTGTCTGACAAGGTAATAACTTTGATGCATGGAAAATTGGGTAAGTGTGGAGGTGTGCTGGGAGTTCTATGGTATAAGACGGTCCATCTTCGCCGCCCTTGACTTCTAGAACGGGCCACGGTCCTCTATATGTGGGCAGTAACTTCTGCGAGATATTCTCCTCAGGTGCAAACTCCTTAGAACTGACCCAGACTAAGTCGCCTACTTGAAACTGTGAGGGGCGACGATGTCTGTTCGCGTGGTCTATCATCCTATACTGGGCCTTCCTGAGGTTCTCTACAACAGTACCTAGTTCTTTCTCGTGTTGTACAACAAACTCCCTGGTCCCGGGCGGTAATCTGTGAATCTGATCCCGGTTGAGTCCCTCGAACGGTCTACGGGGCCTAAAGGACTTGTGCAGTTCGTTGGGAGTGCGACAAGTAGACAGATGCAGGCTGTTGTTGTACGCACTAGCTACTTTAGGCAGCATCTCATCCCAGTTAATCTGATCTGGCCTAATGTACATGCGCAGAACTTGCTGTAGGATCTTGTTCATTTGCTCGGTCTGACCGTTAGTCTCTGGATGGCGGCCGGACGACATCAACAACTTAGATCCATATACTCCTATGAGTTCTTGCCAGTTCTGGCTGGTAAAACGACTATCTCTATCGCTCACTATTGATAGTGGGATTCCATTCTCACTCACCCAACAGTCAAAGAACCTCTGTATGACTAAATCAGTATGTGCCTCTGAAGGCAAAGGAACAAAAACTGCGTACTTACTAAAACGGTCAACAATGACCATGACTTGGCTCTTACCATGCCTACTCTTGACTTGAGTGTCCATGAAGTCGATGGACACTGAGTCCCCCGGCTGGTCCGGAATGGGCAAGGGTCTGAGAAGACCTAGCAGGGCGCGCGTAGAACTCTTGTTACGCTGGTAAACCTTACAACTACGAACATACTCTACGCAGTCATTCTTCATCCCCGGCCAGGTATACGCGCGCATCAGATTGGCTAAAGTCTTTTGCCAACCAAAATGACCCTCTGTGTCGTGGCATTCCCCCAAAATTAGACTACGGATCTCTTCGTTGTTGGGGATGCACAGCCGGTCAAAAACATTAGTCTTCTCAAAAAGCAACCCCTCAGTAGTGCGGTAGTTTGGTTCAGTCTCTAGGGCCTCTTTGACCTTCTTAAGGAGGTCACTATAAATAGGGTCCTGTGCGTAGGCTTCTCTAACCTTCTGCTGTCGATCCGTCCCTATATCGAGGTAATGTACTATTGCCCCAAAGTAATCAGCTCTTCTACTCAGAGCATCCGCAACTACGTTGTACTTCCCTTTGACAGGCTTGAGCTCGAAGTCGTACTGATCTATCTCTGCGGCCCACCTAGTAAGCTTAGGTGTCATCTTGGCCTRCGTCTTTAACCATCGTAACGTTTCATGGTCGGAATAGACTTTGAAGTGCCTCCCAAGCAAGTAGTGCTTCCAGTGGTCTAAGGCTTGCCTGAGGGCGTAGAATTCCCTCTCATAGGTAGATGTTGCGACCTTCTCTGAAGGCATTCTGGCGGACATGAACTCTACGGGTCTATACCCATTGCCATCGTCTTGCTGTAACACTGCGCCTATGCCGTATTAACTCGCATCGGTCGTGACGACAAAGGGCAAGGACGGATCGACGACTTTAAGGACTGGATACTCTACCAATGCCTGCTTTAACTTCTTCATGGTAGACGTGCAGTCCTTATTCCACTTCCAGATGGTCTCTTTTCTCAATGATCTGCGAAGGGGCGCAGCGATGGTAGAGAAGTTCCTCACGAACTTCCGGTAGTAATTAGCTAAGCCCTGAAACGAGCGCAACTCTGTCAGCGTACGTGGCGTGGGCCAATCTCTAATCGCTGCGATCTAGCTATCCTCTGGCTACGTGGCTTAAGTACAAAACTTGGGTTTTCGCCCAATCGCACTTCTTTGCATTGATCTTGAAGTTAGCTTCCCTCAGCTTCTCCAAGACCTCCCTAAGATGACCCTGATGCTCTTCGAGGGTCCTGCTAAACACTAGGATGTCGTCTAAGTAAGCTGCGACGAATCTCTCTAACCATGGCCTAAACAAATCATTCATACACCGCTGAAAAGTTGCTGGCGCATTGGTTAGTCCAAAGGGCATCACTATGAACTCGTAGTGCCCATATCTAGTCCGGAAGGCTGTCTTATACTGATCATCAGGATGCACTTCTATCTGATGATGTCCGGACTTCAAATCTATCTTGGAAAAATACTTCGCCCCCTGCACTCGATCTAAGAGATCGTCTATCCTAGGCAGTGGCTCAGCATTCTTTACTGTAATAGCATTCAGACCCCTATAGTCTATGCACATCCTCAGCTCTCCGTCTTTCTTAGGAACAAAGAGAACAGGCGCTCCAAAAGGAGACGAACTGGGCCTAATCCAACCCTTCTCGAGGAGCTCGTCTAATTGCTTGCGAAGCTCCTCTAACTCCCGTGGGGACATCCTATACACAGCACCCTTAGGAGTTCTACTGTCAAGCCCTATCTCAATGCGGTGCTGGATGGGCCGCGGTACTACTCCTATCGGCGGCTCAGTTAGATCCTTGAACTCTTCCAGCAGCTTGGCAATCGCACGGTTAATCGACTTTTCTTTCGTAGGCTCAGTCACCAGCCTAACATAGGCGACAAAAATCTGTTCCTCCAGTTTCTCCTTCTTTACTAATTTGGCAAATGCACGCGCACTAAGGCAGCAATGTGCCAGTGGATTCTCTACTCCTGACACGTGAAACAGGCGGGCAGTCTTAGCCTCGCCTGAAGGACTAGGGAGCCTACACTCGTGCTCCTTCAAATGGAGCGTGGCCCCAGCTGCCTCTCCCCAATCCATTCCCAGAACAATATCAAATGGGAGGCTGTCTTCTACGAGAAGAGTCAGGGAGTGGAGGACCTTCTCCACTTTCCCACCTTTCTCTAGGCGGAAATACGCCTGGACTCCCTCTACGTAATCCTCTACAACCATGGTACGATTGTCTGCGAGGATACTAACTATGGGGTCTGTCAATATCTGGACTTTTAAGTCCCAGCCTCAACTTCTACAGCGCTTTCTTACTAATATAGTTGCGGGTGGCCCCTGAGTCTACTAGGGCCCCTACTCTACCTGTAAAAATCTTTGTATCTAGTAAGATCAGCTGCCCTTTATTCTCCTTCTTCATCTTGGCCCAGGCGGGCCTCCTCTCCTTCAACTCTTCGGCTACGTCTGTGAGGGAGGTGTCTAGAGAGACCCTAATACAAGCGGTCTCTGGGCAGATATCTAGACACCGGCCTGCAACCTCTGCCATAGGCACATGTGTTGTGGGAGTCTCCTGCCGGCTAGCGCTATGTTCCCCAGATGGCCTAATGGTAGGGGCAGTTGCTACCCCTACCGGCGGCTGCCTTTTGGCCCTTGGGCAGCCGTTCGGGTCTCGCGATACTTAGGACAGTATTTAATGATATGGCCCGGGTCACCGCAAAAAATGCACTGGCCCCGGTCCAGTCATTGTTGCCATAAAGTCAGGTCCAGACCCAAAGCTTCCCAAGGCCTACCATGTGGTAGCCCCGGGTGCCATCCTCCTACTCTATAGGGAGAACTATTCCTGGGACGGTTTTGCGTGGGACCTTGACCCCTGCCTCCCGCTTGGCGGTTTCCTCCTCTGCCGCCAACCCCCTGATCGCCTTGAAACCGACTCCCTGAGGCCCGACCCCCTTGGCCCTGGCCTCGTCCTCCTTGCGGCCTCCCTCCAGCTGCGACAGGAGCGTAAGTGCTCCCCTGGCCCACACCGTTGTCCTCTTCCTCTAACCCCCACTCGATCTGTTCGCAGGGGATCTCATCCACACTACCCTCATCTAAGGTCAGGACAAGGCTGTCCTGGGTCTTAACCTGCCCTGAGATAGTGCAGCCTTTCCATTGCTTCCCTTTGTCTAAGTCCTTGTGCCAGAAGGTAGACAGGGACGGCCACCAATTCATCCATCGTGCCCTTGAGCGCCCTGGCACTCTTCCATTTACGAGAATGGATGGTTTGGAGCTTGTCTGAGGCCTTAACACTGCAAGTGACATCAGCAAATCGCTCGCGCAGCAATTTCAGGAATTCGGTGAGGGACGTGAACGAGGAGTACGCAACGGGATCRTCACTACAGTTGGCAGTGCGAACTAGGGACCTTGCAAAACTGGCGGCCTCATCTCTCAGCGCGTGGATCGCAATTAGAACCTGCTGATCCGGGGAGACCTGTTGCGAGTGCACATAGGTCTTAACGTTGGCTTCCCAGTTGTCAAAGTTATCTTCCCTTTTCCCACTGTAGGAATCAGGGAATTTGACCTTGACCGGTTCCCGACGAGGAGGACGTGCTTCCTCCTCCTTGGGGATCGTCGCCTTGACGCCCTCAATAGCGCCAGCGCAGAACCGCTCAGTCTTGTCGAGGCAGTGGCCCACCTCAGTGCCTATAGCGCCTACCAACTCTCGAGCAAAGTCCCGGAATCCCAACTTTATTGAATGCACAGCTATGTGTTGACTCCTAAAGTCGTATTGCTCCGCCTGAATTCGTGCCAGGCGTGCAACATTTCGAGCTATGACTCGCATTTGGGTTGGGAGTTCAGTCTGGGCGGCTAGTTGCTCTTCTATCTTTTTTACCTCCTCTAATTCTTCTGCCGCCTCCGCTGCCGCGTCCACTCTCCTCTTCTTATCCCTCATCACTGCCAACCTTAGTCCATACTCACACCAGGATTTCTTTTCAATGTATCTATCTGTCATGGTGTATCTTCCTATGTTCTTGCGGAAGATTCCTTCTCATTTTGCAAATTGGCAGGTTGCTCAATTGATGCACACATGAATTAAAAAAAAAAGGTGGCAGTGTATATTTCCATATTCTGGCTGAAGATTCATTCCGATTTTGCTCATCCTACACACACACTAGGGTAATGTATGTATGTACGTGGTTTGTTTTTCTCCTCGGAAAATACGGGGATCCGGACCGGTCCGAATCTTCCGAAGAATTCCGGTGTTCCGGAAGTCGGGAAGGGCCTGGAAGGTCCGGGTTCCGGGTCCGGATTCGGTCCTAGTTTGGGTCCTGCATAGCTATGGTATGTACTGTGGAGTTGTTGTTGCCACCAGAGGTTTACTGTCCCCCTTCCCCATCACGTTCTTTTAAAAGAGGTTTTGCAGATCACACTGATTGCCACAATCTTCTGAGAACCACCTGGAAAATTCAATCTTTCGTAGTTCTGCTTTGGCGCAGCCCCCTCTTCAATCGAAGATGGCCTGCTGGAGAGCGTAGGGGCGACGTGCGACAGTCAACTCTGGTGGAGGAGGAGGAGAAGGAGAAGAGGGAAGGAGGAGCAGAAGGAGGAGCAGAAGGAGGAGCAGAAGGAGGAGCAGCAGAAGGAGGAGCAGAAGGAGCAGCAGGAGGAGCATGAGGAGGAGCAGGAGGAGGAGCAGGAGGAGAAGAAGAAGAAGAAGAAGCAGCAGCAGAAGCAGCAGCAGAAGCAGAAGCAGAAGCAGAAGCAGAAGCAGAAGCAGCAGCAGCAGAAGCAGCAGAAGCAGAAGCAGAAGCAGCGGCAGCAGCAGCAGAAGCAGAGGCAGAAGCAGCAGCAGACGCAGAAGCGCAGCAGCAGAAGCAGAAGCAGAAGCAGAAGCAGCAGCAGCAGCAAAAGAAGAAGAAGAAGAAGAAGAAGAAGAAGAAGCAGAAGCAGCAGAAGAAGAAGAAGCAGCAGCAGAAGAAGAAGAAGAAGCAGCAGCAGCAGAAGAAGAAGAAGAAGCAGCAGCAAAAGAAGAAGAAGAAGAAGAAGAAGAAGAAGAAGAAGAAGAAGAAGAAGAAGAAGAAGAAGAAGAAGCAGCAGCAAAAGAAGAAGAACAAGAAGAACAAGAAGAACAAGAAGAACAAGAAGCAGAAGCAGCAGCAGCAGAAGAAGAAGCAGAAGCAGCGGCAGTGGCAGCGAAAGAAGAAGCAGAAGCAGCAGCAGCAGAAGCAGAAGCAGAAGCAGCAGCAGCAGCACCAGCAGAAGAAGAAGAAGAAGAAGCAGCAGAAGCAGCAGCAGCGTAAGAAGAAGCAGAAGAAGAAGAAGAAGCAAAAGCAGAAGCAGCGGCAGAAGAAGCAGCAAAAGAAGCAGAAGAAGCAAAAGAAGCAGCAGAAGAAGAAGCAGAAGAAGCAAGAAGAAGCAAGAAGAAGCAGCAGCAGCAGCAGAAGCAGCAGACGCAAGAAGCAGCAGCAGCAGCAGAAGCAGCAGAAGCAGCAGAAGCAAGACGCAGCAGCAGAAGAAGAAGCAGCAAAAGCAGCAGCAGCAGAAGAAGAAGAAGTAGAAGCAGCAGCAGCAGCAGCAGCAGCAGCAGAAGAAGAAGAAGAAGAAGAAGAAGAAGAAGGAGCAGAAGAAGAAGAAGAAGAAGAAGAAGCAGAAGCAGAAGCAGAAGCAGAAGCAGCAGAAGAAGAAGAAGAAGAAGAAGAAGAAGAAGGAGCAGAAGAAGAAGAAGAAGAAGAAGAAGCAGAAGCAGAAGCAGAAAAAGCAGCAGCAGCAGAAGAAGAAGAAGCAGAAGAAGAAGAAGAAGAAGAAGAAGAAGAAGCAGAAGCAGAAGCAGAAGCAGCAACAGCAACAACAAAAGAAGAAGAAGAAGAAGAAGAAAAAGAAGCAGAAGCAGAGGAAGAAGCATAAGTAGAAGCAGAAGCAGAAGCAATAAAAGCAGATGCAGAAGCAGCAGCAAAAGAATAAGCAGAAGAAGTCGAAGAAGAAGAAGAAGAAGCAACTGAAGCAGAAGAAGAAGCAGAAGCAGAAGAAGCAAAAGAAGCAAAAGCAGAAGAAGCAGAAGAAGCAAAAGTAGAAGCAAAAGCAGAAGAAGTAGAAGCAGAAGAAGCAGAAGCAGAAGAAGCAGAAGAAGCAGAAGCAGCAGAAGAAGCAGCAACAGAAAAAGCAGAAGAAGAAGCAGAAGCAGAAGAAGAAGCAGAAGCAGCAGAAGAATCTTCTTTTTCTTTTTCTTCTTCTTCTTCTTCTTCTTCTTCTTCTTCTTCTTCTTCAGCAGAAGAATCTTCTTTTTCTTTTTCTTCTTTTTCTTCTTCTTCTTCTTCTTCTTCTTCTTCTTCAGGAGGCAGGAGGTACTCTTCAGGATTCGGCAGCAGCACTCTGGAGGAGCGTTGCAAGAGTAGTAGTAGTCTTCAGCGTTGGGCGCTAGTAGGAGCTAGAGTAGCATTGGAGAGAGAGAGAGAGAGAGAGAGAGAGAGAGTTTTTCTTCCTCTCCTAAGTCCACCATCTCTCTCTCTCCCTCTCCAATGCTACTCTAGCTCCTACTAGCGCCCAGCGCTGAAGACTACTACTACTCCTGCAGCGCTCCTCCAGAGTGCTGCTGCTGAATCCTGAAGGCTACCTCCTGCCTCCTGAACCACACGTGAAGTGTCTGGCCAGTCCCTATGAACTACCTACCTGCCTGTAGGGCGGGCCAGTCTTATATAGTGCTGGCCCGTCCAGGAGGCTGCTCTTGCCAATGCCCAAACGTGCTAGACCCTGAGGAAGCTTCCGGGAGGCTGCTCTTGCCAATGCCARAACGTGCTAGCCCCCGAGGAAGCTTCTGGGTAGTTTCCAGGTAGCTTCTGGCTAAAGACTGAGGGCCTATAGGCCCTTGTTTTCAGGCTGTCAGGCTGAACCGACAAAGGGCCTGTAGGCCCTTGTTTTCAGGCTGTCAAGCTGAACCGACACAAGGCCTGTAGGTCCTTATTTTCAGGCTGTCAAGCTGAACCGACACAGGGCCTGTGAGCCCTCGTTTTCAGGCTTTTAGACTGAAAATGCTGGTCGGGCCCTGCGGACCCATGTGGCTGCACAGTATGCCACAGTAACGCTGAGGCAAATGTTGTTCAATTTAGTTTTCTGCATAACAATGATAACATAGATTATTTTCGGATTTTTTGGATTTTTTTTTTTTTTTTTGGGTCCGAGTTCGGCCCGAACGGCCGAACGCATCTACAGGGGAGCCCAAACGATCGGGCATTCGGGTTTGGCCGATCGGCCCCGGCCAAACGCCAGCTACCATGTATATATGTAGTCAAACAGAGCTGCCCGGTAAACCGTAGGCAGAGAGGGAGAAGAGGACAACAAATGAGGGGTTGTGACAAACTGTTTCGTCGGAGTTTCACCGACTCATCAGGAGGTGGATGATATATATATTGTCACATAACTATGAACTAAAAGAGCGCACTTTGCAAAACAAAAGGCAAAAATAACAAATTAAAAAACAAGGCAAACACGAAGGGCACACTGAAACCATTCATTTTTCTCATTCTTCTTTTAACTCCCCCTTCACCGTGCCTCTCACGTACAAGGCTCGCCATGTTTATGAAGTTGAGTGCGAGCTGCCCCCATCCTCGTGTGCCATAACAACCCACTTGTACGCTGTGAGAAAGAGGCAGAGTGAAGGGGGAGGGGATAAACACAAGGAGGAGAGATGAAGAGCAAACAAACAAAGAACAATAAAGGGAAAGGAAGGGAAAGTATGGATTGTGGAGTGAAGATGAAGGCAAAAGAGGATAAGAAAAAGCTCAAGAATGAGTCTGTCCTTGACGACAGAGACGACATGGAAGACCTAGTTGAGCATTCTCAGTGCAACAATACACCCCCGACAAATGGCATGTCGATTGCAGGCCAAAATGAAGGAAGAACGGTCACCACAAAAGACCATGCATTCAGTATAGTGCCCATGGCCGCAAAATGGACATATAATGTCCGGATGTGGAGGGTGCCTGCAATCAGGAACGGAGGGACATTCCTCTGCACACATGGATGCAGAAACCATGTCATTGTAGTGATTGTGACAGAGACAATGGCGGCTACAGCCCAGTGTAACAATGTTTATGGCTATGCAAAGGAGAAGGTCGCAGAGTGTTGGTACATTGTCTTGCTGCAGCACGGGCCCAAAGGAATGATCTTCGACATAAAAGAAATTGCGGACGGTTTGTTGTTGCAAAAAAACAGCATCATTTTGTAAGAAATCAGTGACATCAGTCATGGCATGGACCATGGTGCCGTTGTCCTACACCTCCCAGCGGTCAGAGGCATGTACAATGGCTATGTAACGGCCAGGCCCGTGCACAATGTCGACACAGATGCGGAATGGAGGATTAAACCACTCACCTGCTGGAGCATTGCGTACTTCAAGTTGATGGTCGCTCATTGCTACTTGTAGGATAGCAATGGTAAAGCCTCCTTCGCTGGTATAATTACAATCCTCAGGCTGTAGTTGGGGAAGATCAGCATCAAGCTGACGGTCGATTGCAAGGAGGCCTGATGATGTATAAAACGGGCGGTGGAGACCACAGAGATTGGTGAGGTTCTCAGGCTGGTTTGTTGGATGCTGGCCATCAATTTGTCGATCACCCAGATGGTGTTGCAAGCCCAAATTGTCTTGGGTTATTTGCTGGTCAGTCATTTGCAGATCACCCATGTGGCCTGTGTGTGGCGGAGCACAAATTTGTGGTTCATCCGAACAATGCTGGTCAGCCATTTGCAGATCCCCTATGTGGTCTACGCCTTGTGTGGTCAACTGCAATCCGCGCAGATCATGTTCCAATCCCTCAACGTTTAGGGCTGCATCCTGAGTAGGGTCTGTCCCTAGAATCGGGAGTGTACTTTCGACAGGGACCACATCGTACTGTACAGATGAGTCGGGAATATCTAACGCCGCAGGGTATAAAACTTGGTGTCATGGTTGCCTGCACGCAGCTGGACTGTCTGCAGGAGGCATAGGAGCGGATATTGTCGTTTGAAACAAAGGAACGACAACAACCTGTGGAGGAGGCATAGAGAGAATGGGGGCAGAAAAAGAAACAGGTTGCTGATCCCCGGACAAGTGGCGATGCCGCGGATGTCGTCGGCGATACACAACAAGAGAAGAGGTGTTGCAAACAGAAGACGAATTTGTCCCTAGCAACGAAGGTGGAACAATGGGAACAATGGAAACTGGAGAGTCTATTCAGCAAGACCATGAAGGAGATGGGGTTGGTGAGGAGGAACGCAGCCGTCTGCGGCCAAGCACAGAAAGATATGAGAGGGGGGTGGATTGGGCAAGATTTCGAAATAAAGGACGCGAGTGTCAGAGAGACTGTGATGTTCTTTGCACTGGAGCTGCAGTTATGGAAACTACACTAGGGGGAATTACAGTTATGGAAACTGCTGAGCTGAAAACTGCAGCAGTGGAAACCGCAGCAGTAGAAACTGCAGCAGCGGAAACTGCAGCAGTGGAAACTGGAGCAGTGGACACTGCAGCAGTGGAAACAGCAACAGTGGAACCTGCAGCAGTGGAAACTGCGGTAGCAGCAGATGACCATGTATATATACGATGGTGTGGCGCATCGCCTTCACTGCGCAAGCTCCCATAACCACTGTGAACCCACCAAGGTGACGGTGTCCTTCCTGCAGCCTCCCATTGCCACCACAGGCTACTGAACAAGTGCAATGGCGGGTGACTGGGCAGCACAGTGGGTGGGCAAGCCGCGAGGCGAATGGGCAAGCTGCGAGGGCAACCCATCTTCCCCCGAATAGAACGTATGGTCATTACCATGATAACCGTCGACCCGGACACCGGACCGGTCCGGACTAGTGTCTGGGCCGGTCGGGACTGTCCGAAGATCCGGACACCACCGGACACCCGAACATCCCCGGACCCGGACAGTCTGGACCGGTGTCAGAGGGTGCACAATGTACGGAAAAAAAAAAAAAAAAAAAAAAAAAAAAAGGGGGGGGGGGGGGGGGGGGGGGGGGTGTTGGTTGGCAGGCACTCACCTGCTTTGCACTTTGTAGTTCAGGCAGCAGAGCACCTGTCTTGCAGCAAATCAACACGCACATTCAACTAGCAGACATGCAGAGTTGCAAACAGTGCAAAGCAGGCACAACTAAAGAAACAGAGAAAGACAAATTGAAAAAAGTAAGATTAACTTTGAAGTTTGAAGTTTGAACTTTTTGAATTAAGTAATTTAAGTTCATAACTTCATATAACTTACAAGTTAAAAGTCCAAACTTTGCAGTTCAATTCAGAAAGTCAGAGTCTTCCGACTGGCAGCACTAGCAGCACTGTCAGTGCTCTCTCTCTCTCTCTCTCTCTCTCTCTCTCCAACGGGCAGCGGCAGCGGGCAGCACCTCAGAACGGCCGTTTTTGAAATTGCTCGGGCCTGTGTGAAACCCGCCATCCCAAAAACCTGCAGTGTCTTGTGTCTGGACCTCTAGGCCCTGTCCGGTGGACTGAAATGACACTGAAAAATCACCCCGTTATTTTTTAATGGGCGGCCAGGACCCGAAAAACGTCCTGGGCCACCCCTTTTTTTTTTGCGATTTTTGCCGTGGGGACCTCCATCCAGACATCATGGACCAGACACCGGACCCGGACATGTTATTCCGGACTGTCTGGAACCCCGTCCGGACGACCGGTCGGTTACCATGGTCATTATGCCAGTATTTTTGGTACAGCGATAATGACCATACGTTCTATTCAGGGGAAGACGGAAGTGAGCAAGCAGCAAGCGCACAGGAGTTCAAGGGGACTCTGGCACGACAAACAACCACAAGGTGACCAATCTGGCACACCAATCTTGCGGCGACCTCGCAAAGTCAGCGGCCTATATCGGCCGCCACTTTTTCTTCAGATACAGGGGCCTACCGACCACCCTTTCTGTTTTTGGTTGCACCGGCGGCCTTCCAGAAGTGTCCGAGGGAGGG